TTCCTTTCTTTGCATTTTGCTTGTAATCAATTATTATGATGCTAAAGTTACAGAAAAATTCAAAAACTAAAGTTAGATATCATTTAAGTACTGTATTTACCGAAGTACAAAAGCAGTCCATACTCTAAAAGAATTGTTTTGAACAAAAGAAAATATTAGTATATTTCTAATCTACTTTATTGATAAGCACTGTATTTTTATTGTACCGTAACTGGCATGTGCTAAGTACTAAAACAAAAAATAAACATAAACCGTGTAGTAATTCTTCGGCAGGAAGGGATTCACATCCATTCGCATGTCCGTTTGTCCATTCGAATGGTCTCTCCCTGTGTAGAGAGTTTTCTTACGCAAGAATGAACACTGAACCGTGTGTGGCAGTCAGCTTTTCCTTAAATAGCTATACTAATTGACCAATAGAAAGTGGAGTTCTAACGATGACCGCGCTGACAATCGTGTCCCGTTCCAGACCGTTCGCACGGGGTCGCAATAGGTCTTCGAGCACGAGTCAAATATTGTTTCCATTAATGACTTGCTACCTGGCTACTTTAATTCTTATTATAAACGAAATTTTCGAAATAACCTAACGCAAAGAGGGTGACTCTATATGAAAAACTAAGTCAGAAATAAGTATCAAATAAAAGTTTTTCTTACAGTTTTCTTTTCGATTGATTTGAATTTAAATATCTTTTAAGTAAAATAAATACCCTATGGTTGGAACGAATTCCAATAGTTGACAATTGCATAGTAAAATTGTTAATAATAATATTTATGTTTATTCTGAACGTTTACATTAGTGAAAATGTAATAACAAAATGGATTATCTGTACATAGATATAATAATGTTTCTATAATTCAGAGCTTATATCACACAAAAATATTATTGTGCAATACTCCATGATTCAACATTTTAAAATTCGTTTTATGATTCAAATAAGGAAGTACTTTTACTTAAGTTGTAAATATTTAATATTCCATCGCGTGTTGAATAACAAAGTGGTCTTAAACTTATTAAATAATAGAAAATTTAAATTACTATCTTTTTTGTGAAATAGATAACATAACTTCAGATGATGTTGCTCTTCCAGGTTAATACTCTTCTTCAATTGTTTTTGCAAGAAAATTCGTTTTGTATACATATTAGTGTTTTTCTCAAGTCATAATCTATGGCACAATTTCAATTCCATTCTTAAAACACACGAATAGTACAATTAATTATACAATAATGTAATAAGCTGTTAATATAACACCAACATAGTACTAAAAATTTTTTTTTATCGAAAAAAAAACTGGTATTGAATTAAAATAGTCAATCTTTTATAAATCCACCCCAAAATTAACTCAGCACTAACTAAAACTTACAATGAAACATGTCGAAACGAGACACACCGATTTTAATGAAACTTGAGTGAAAGATAGTTCTCAAGAAAATATTTGACACATATTTTTTTATCGGCCATTGTTCGCATTGAAGGGGTGAAAATAGCCCTCAAAGTTAACAGCTAAAATCGTACTTTTGGGAATATTTGCGGAATTAAAGAAGATAATTGGAAACTTTTTTTTATGTTATTGATCTTTAAATAGAGAATTTTTGTGAGCACAAAAATTTTAAGAAACTTTATTTGTATAAATAATATTTTGAAAATTTATAATTTTTGTTCAAATTTTTGTACTAAATGTTGAACTATTTTTTTGCAACTTTGTGCACGTAAACTATAGACTAAAATAGAGAATACATGTTTTTGGAATTTGTTGTTTGTAACAATGTTTATTAGATATATAATTTAAAATCATCTCGTGTGAAAAGGGGCAATCAACATTTTTATTAAAAATATCATTATTTTTATAATCTATTACAATTATTTCTTAATAATTATTGTAAGCGTTGCAGGTATGAGCGTGATGCGGTTGTAATCACCGCCGCAAGGAACGTTTATGTCCAAAACTGATTTCATACTTTTACAACCATAGTCTTCAGTCCAAATAAAATATTTAGAACTTTTGGGAACTTTGAGGTTTTTAAGAAATTAAGAAAAAAAAATTATATTAAATTATGTTTTAACAATATCGGCCATAAAAGTCTACGTTGCATGCGGTGGTGATTAGAACCGCGTCACGCTCATACCTGCGACGCTTACAACAATTATTGAGAAATCAATTAACGGCATATGAAGAGCTATATGTATAATGTCCAGAATATTGTAAAAGATTGTAAAAATAATGATATTTTTATAGATATTTTTATCTGAATTCTTGATCAAAATTATTTCCGCTTGCCTTAATACTTTTGAATCCTACATTTTTTCTTGTGAAATATTTTTATGTAACTTTGTATTTTATGCAGAATTTACAAATTGCTAATTATAATTCAGAAAAATCAAAACTAAAAAGTTCCATAAATACACGATTTCATGCTAATACATAAACATACGTAAAATAAATTTCTTCTGCAGTACATTACAGTTTATTTATTTATAAAATTCGATTTTTTACACTTTACAATAGATAAATTTATTAGGTATCACTATGTTTCAAAGAAATAAAAGAGGCCACTGAGTGATTAATAGCACTCTATATTGACGTAATTTAGACAATTAAAACTTTCAATAATATAAAAACCGACCATAAAAATTTACTTGCGAATAAATATAAGAAATATTTAATTGTCGAATTATATTATATTTAGTCCAGTATGCATTTGCCTTGAAGGCGATCGTCACGCCACAAACCATCGTCGAGACAATCTTTTATAATCTATAGTAATAAACGATAAGTATGTTACTTTGAGGGGATGAAAAAGTTGGATTCTATCAGGAAGAGATATCCTACAATTATAAAATGTTCGATATGAAGTTATGAATCAATCTCAAAGGAAAGTTGCATACTCGAAGAAATGTACGTTTTAAATTGATTGCTCTTAATTATTGCATTCTGAGAAAAATGTTGTGATCAAGAAATCGGAGCACGTATAATAACTTCATTTGCGGAAATTCCTGTTTTTATTTCTTTCAATGAAAATACATTAGGTTGTATCTGAATTACGACGTGATCGAACGCAGTCAAGTTAAACATAATTCAACTTCCATCAATCGGTCATTATTATTATTTATTAATCGTTTATTGGCCGAAGAACACTTCTAACTTAATGTATATTACATAGTGCCTTGTTACAACTAAATACAACTACAAATTCAATTTACTCAAATAACTTATTCGTCGGGAACCTACATTTCCTAGGGTTTTTATTATTATTGTAACAATTATTAACTATTTTTTATGTGTGCTATTTATATTATATTCTATCTTTAATTTAGAGATCTGTATATAGATCCTTATGCTTCCTACCATTTCCAAAACTAATTTCTGAACAAAGGATCTAGATGGTTGGGCAGTCGGATAATTTTCAGCGAATTAAGAAATAATAACAATAAAATAGATTTCAACATTATTAAGAATATAATAATCAATGTTATAGCAAATAGAAACATTAGATTATTACATATTAAATGATTAATGTTAAAACATAAAATGTTTGACATGCTCTTTTGTTTAATTAATTTGAATAAACCTTATTTATTATACGATGTTTTAGTTATATCTTCCTATTATTTTTTATATCGTTATATACGGATCAGTTTATTATATATGTATATAATTTTTTTTATTAAATTAAATATATATTTTGTATCGCTATTTTTATTATACACGCGTATGTTAGTTTTTAGCTACAAAGCGTTAACTGATATTAGGAAGGTTAAATATTATTTCTAAAGTTTTCATAGACGTACAACGATTTCAATAACAAATGCTCGGTAAGATAAGATCATCGATAGAAAGGGAAACCTATTATTTGTTTACCGGTTCGCGTGACCACATCGGATGCTCTTACGACGGCGTCCGTCCATTTCTCACACAGCCAATGGATTTTCGCTTGTCGGCCTAATTGCTGGAAAAGCTAGAGGTGTATCCTGCCGACTATCGATACGCATAGGCGAAGCCGTTTAATATTTGACGTCACCCCCGATGGAAACGGCAATTATCGAGATAAGCGTACGCTCGCATGATATTCCCCGATGTCATAAAGGTCCACCTCACCTTTTTCCATTTAACCTCTCGAGAAAACTGGGACTACCAGGAACATTGAAATTCCGAAGTTATCGACGTCTTTTTAATTTGATAACCATCAACGACATTTCAATTAATGTTCGAAAAATTGACAGTAACAATTTAACGTTACAATTCATTAATTATGAAACTGTATTACAACCGCTGTTCATCGAAATCAGATCATTTGGTATTTTCAATTTTTTTTTGAAAAATTCATAAACGTAAATGAATTTTAATAAAGAAGTTTATTAATTATTATTTTTCAAAGAGATTAATATATAAAATTTATATTTTCCTAAATATCTTAACTTTTTAAATTATCCTAGCGTGCAATACTCATAAGGAAAATGCATATTGGTTATTTAAGGAAGAAAACATTCTTTTTTATGTTATAATCAAATGTAAAATTCAGTCTTGAATGGCGCAGAATCTGCCATGCAAGATTTAAAATATTTTACTTATATCCGCACTTATTCAAATGATATTTGATATGTAAATATTATTATCGTCTTTTAATTTAATTCAATAAAAACTATTTCAAGTACTTGCTGTGAAGAAATGTTCATCGAGTGCATTCATAAAATGTTATAATTTAACTAGGAAAAAGATGATTCCTCCAATATAATTAATTGAAATTATAAAGTAAAGATTTGTATTGATGAAGTATGTTTTACGAATACATATTCGACGCATAAAATAAACAGAGAAAACTGTATGTATGCGTAATGAGTTAAAAAATAGCGAATTCATGCACTTTTCATACAGCAAACATTTTATTCCATAATTTCGATTTACTTTTTCAAGTGGAATCAAGCACTTCTAGCTGTACCATGATTGCTGAGACACGTTGTACGTTATATATTTATTGAATGTGTGCAAGATGTCAAAAACGTTACCTGATCTTTTTCGACGAAACCCATGAAGGAGGTCCTTTCTATCTCGATCGGTTGACCGTGTCGATCGTAAAGAGCGATCACGAAATGGAAGAAGTTACTTTTTCTCAAATTACTTGGTGGTTGTTTCTCGAAGTGTGCTCTGCCAACTCCAACTCTGAAATTCAAATAAAATACAAATTTTTTATTATAGATACTGTTTCAAATTTATAAATTACATAAAATACGTTATTTATACGGTGACTGCGATGGTAGAAAATGCCGTTCGTGGTGTGACATACTTTAGTCAGAATTATTAAAAATACAACCGCTTCTTTCTTTACTTTAAACTTTCGACTTCCTATTCTTCTTATTATTAAAATATTAATAGTGTCATAAGTTTACGTTACTATTTTTCTTAAATACTTTATTGTATTTAGATTTGTGACGGTGACGAATAATCTCCATAATCGATAAATTAATTAAAAACTTGAATGCCTTCCATTTCTTATTAAATAAATATTTGGAATAGTTACATAAAAATAACCTATTGTATTGTATTGTGTAAGTATAGATTTGAGTGTAGATAAAAGGTATTGTTAAGTCTCTTATAATGCTGTTTTGAAAAAAACATCAAATAAAAAAGCCTAATGAAGAAAACTAATAAATTGAAAGTTATACCAATTTTTCATTCGCATTTAAATTCGCCTAAAGAATACTGTTAAATTTTATATTGTTTCAAATACATATTTTCTACAAAACTTAATCACTTAATTTGACTACATCATTCATAGAAAAAGTTTCTCATGAAATAAGGTAATTATTTTTCTCATGAAGGTGATATCATAATTACAAATGGCAAAATCGTACCTGTATGTCTACAAAAAAAAATGTCATACAAGCTTCGTTCTCTAAACTGCAATTCTTTAAAATAAATTTTCTACGTTGCTTTCTATTTTATTTTTAGCAAAATATACAAAATCATACATAAATATTTAGCATATACTTCTGAAGTGCCTCATAAGTTTCATAATTTATAGTGCCCTTACTTTTACCGAAAGTATTATTTAAATCTTGTGGAATCCTCTAAATCGTAATTTTTTTCTAATAAGTTTCGTTTGCTGTATTATTCATGAAGAATATTACTCAATGAGTTCTGATGACCATACTTAGGTGGCATAATTATTTCTTTTTTATAAGAATGCGCTACATATGATAAATCAGCTGTTTTGGCGGTCAATGAGTTATACATATGGTAGTACTATTGAAGCAACATGCGGTTGAAAAGAAAATATTAATAAAGTTGCATTATTTTGCTACCATTGAATTAATACACGTATATTGGCTGTATTTCCTTGCTATATTATAAAAACAAATATACATTTTTTCATTTATACCACTGCACAACAATGTACACGTCACCCTAGAATCGAAAATATCTCGGTGTGAACAATGCGAACAATGCACATCAAGTTCTATAAAGGGGGCGGACACCAAATTCGGATGTCAAGGACGAGATTCGGTATTGTAGGGTCAAATAGATATGTCCTACACGGCCTTGAATGCAATAAGAATGCCGAAACTAGTAGAGAGGAAAGACAAACGAGATTGTCCGTGGGGGAGCACGCAGGTGGCCTCGACGCCTTAAAATCCCATTAAGGTCTCATGTGCTGAGATTAGGCCACCGGACTCCAATGCCATCTTTGAGTAATGGCACGGAAAGTCCCCCTTTTCTGGTGTGCTGCTTTTACACGGTTTATGTGTACAACTACCCTCGGATTGATCTTCTAAAACATGACTTTTCACTGAGCTTTTGCCACCATTCATAGTACTATGTCTCTGCAGATTATTCTTAAATACACACAAGCGACTGGCTTTAACGGCCATCATTGTATGAACTTCTCGGAAGCCGAAATAATCAACATCATTTTCTAAAAATTTGTCAATTTTATTACACAGGTATGCAGATAAATTTCTACGAATATGCAGATTTGTAAAATCTTCAAAAGTAGAAACATGTATTTTTTCATCTGTCGAGGTTCGACTTTAAGGATTAAAACCATCCTTTGAATTTCGACTAACAAGTGGTATTTCGAAAACCAATGAAAATACATGAAAACTTTTATGGTTTCTTATGTATGACAACAAGATCTAAACAAATTGGACAAAATACAATATAACAAAATTTCATTAGGTTATGAATCACCAAAATTTTATTACCTTAGTTTTAGACTTATTTCTGCTTTCACAATAACAAAAAGTGACAAGTATTTTATTTTAAATACACTGAATATATGTATGTATAGTTTCCCAAATAATTTCCCACAGTTTTTCAGATTGTTATTGTTTCTGCAAGTCACTGCACGATACTAAATCGAACTACATCGCATAATATTACCATCAATTAACGTTATATGTATAAGTGAAATAGTTTTTTAGAATATATAATTATTGACTTTTTTAAATTTATATCGTGTGGCACAAAATACTTAAAGCTCTAGGTGTTTTATAGGGTATGAATTAAATTGATTGCATTAGTACATAATGAATACTTTGAGTACAATAAGCAATATTGTCGTGACAACAATGGTATTCTTTGTAAAAAGTTTTGAACAAAGTTGCTTTCGACACCAAGCACAAGTTACATTACCACAGTGCATGCCATCATGGATCATTATCCAGCAAATAATACATACTTCTATTTTTTTTACTTCGATTCTCTTTTCCGCATAACCGTAGAAATATTTACTTAATAAATCGAACAACAAAGCTGCCAGAAACAGGACGTTGCGTAAAAAAAATGCCTTACAAAATTTTTCCCGATGACATTATTATACAACGTTTTGGTATCTGTAGCGTTCGTCAGCTAGATGCTGATTTTATGTCATATCACATAATAGTGCGTTACAATGTTATATGATAAATCGAAATGGTGCGGTACATTAAATATATCTGACGACATTATCTCCGGTAATAACAAAAATAATAATATAACAATTACAATGTCCATTTTTCCGAAAGTTTACGTACCAAATGATGCGATATATTTGAATGTACTTACAATCTTTTTAATAATTTCAATTTCAACTGTAAAGTGACATCAAACTTTCAATGTTTCCCTTCTCTTTGTTACAAGATCAAAATTTGCTATTCAAACATATTTTTGTATAATAAGTTTGTATTATTTGTTAATACAAAATATTTGTAGTTTATTAAAATTTATAATATTTGTTAATTTTTCGTTCGCAAGTGTGCATTAAATCATAAAAGAAAGACAACTAACCAAAAATGCTACTCCTATAGTTACAAATAATTTAAAATATGTAATAATAATACTTGTAGTGATAATATTGTATGGTAATGATGCTTCAAACAATTATGTCTAAACATTGTTTAACTTGTAATATTTTGACTTTAACTTTGTTTCAAAACGAACAAATGGCTTTGATCTCAAGGCACAGTCCATCAAATATTTCTATATGCAAGAAGTTTCAAACGTTTATCTTCCAGAAATTGTTATTTTGAACGATAGCATTTGATGTATTCTGACCTGGTTTCAAATAAAAAAACTTGAAAAACAAATTAGCTGACAATGTCCAAGTCCGTGAATTACGTGCAGGCAAACTTATCTCGTCTACCCTAACTTCTAATAATTTTAATTTTTGATTAATAGTACTGTTACATCATGGCTATTATTATTGTACTCATCTTGCACCTGTACAACTAACTTCAGTTCTCCGCACAGCGTTGTTTATGTTCAAACATCAAAGGATTCGACCAAGTCCGTTACTCGATGCAAAAGGTATGTTACCTTTGCAGTTATGAGTGCAGAGAGGATTAAAAAACAGTGTGGAGAAATCGCATTATCGGATGGGATGGTAAGGACCCGTCGTTACCACCGCGATTGGGAGGCTGCGGTAGCGGTGGTGGCGCTAAGCGATAAAACGATCGCGCGGGTGCGCAGTGGCACATCAGGGCGGACTCTCGGAGCGGAAAACTGAATCGACTGGACCGAAAATGAATAGCGGCAGTTTTGCAGCACATTTGCGAAATAAATGATGGTATCGGCGGTGCGTTTGTCACGGCAGGTGGTGGGATGTCGGTCTGCCGGTAGGCAGCAGAAGAGGAGGAGTAGGAGGTGGAGGAGGCTACAAGGGGTTCGTCAGCAGGGTATTCGAGAGCGTTAGGGTGATAGTGGTGGTGAATCCAGTGCAGAGAGGGTATACTGAGGGGGAAAGAGAACGGTGGGGTGGCCGAGAGGATAGGAGGGGAGTGATGTACTGCCCGTGTCGATAATTATCGGTGGCTGATTAACCGGCCGCCGGTTCGCGCCCCATAACTCTCAACGTCCGATTATTTTGCCCCGTTTGCCATGCACCAATTCCTATATAACGTGTTAGGCACGTCCTGCCACACCGTTACATTATCACCTGCGGTGCAATACTGTCGCACACATTTTTGGAAACTATTGCGAACTGCGGCGGACCGCAGCTATGCGGTTTCAAGATCATACTCGTTAGAATAACAATGACGGTTTATGAAATAATCATATCTTGCGTAGTTACTCCATAAGTGATGCATTTTCTCTCAGAATTAACAGGTCGGACAGTGATATTTTGTTTCGATTCTTGTTTTCCCTAATGAACGGTCGTTACTAAAAGATTTATTTGTCTAAAATGCGCGTTTTAGTGCTGGAACTACCAACCAGTTGAGTGACTGATTTTAGGTGTTGCATTCTGTGTTACAAAATTTTGTTGTGTTTTTGTCGGAGGGTCTGTCATATTTTATTGAGATACAAAATGGTTTTATATATATCACTTAACATAAAATTAAAAGTGCAAGAGAAGAATACATTAACAAACGGTAAAACATAAAGTAATATACACATCAAATTTTTATCTCGATAAAAATTATTACAGATTTCAAAAAATTTCTAACAAATTTTGTAATTTAAAATAAGAAACTTGTAAATCGGTTATTTTGATCGGTTTGGTAGAATTAGCGTCGACCTATTTCGAGGAAACCAAATTGTAGAATTATCGAATAAAATAGATTTTATAGGTAATGATTTTAGCTTAGCAACAAATACTGGGCTATTAGAAAAAGAAGATTACGAAGACAAATTTAAATAATGAAATAAGTGCAAATAATAAATGTTAAGTTATTTACAAATAAATT